GTTCTAACTGCATTGATTCACATATGGCTGTCCAGCTTTCCCAGCAGCACTTGTCCAAGAGACTTTATTTATTTCTGGGCTCTCTATTCTGATCCATTGATCCCTATGTCTGTTTTTGTGCCAGTACCACCCTGTTTTGATTACTGTAGCTTTGTAATATTATCTGAAGTCTTGAAGGGTTATTCCTCCAGCTTCATTCTTTTTCTTCAGCATTGCTTCAGCAATCCTGGGTCTTTTGTGATTTCATATAAATTTTAGGATTATTTATTCTAGTTCTGTGAAAAATGTCCTGGATAATTTGAGAGGGATTGCATTAAATCTGTAGATTGCTTTGGGTAGTAGCCATTTAACAATATTAATTATTTCAATCTAAAAGCATGGGATAGCTTTCCATTTCTTTAAATCATCTTTAATTTTCTTAATCAAGATTTTATAGTTCTCTGCATATGTCTTTCACCTCCTTGATCAGGTTTATTCCTAAGTATCTTCTTTTATTGATGTGATTTTTAAAAGAGCTTTTTGTTTTTTTGGTTTTTTTTTTTTTTTTTTGCTTTTCCTTTTCTGTTATTTCATTGATAGTGAAAAGAAATGTAACAGATTTCTGTATGTTAATCTTGTTTCCTGCTACCTTGCTGAATTTGTTTATCAGCTCTAGTACATTTTGTGTGGAATCTTTAGGGTATTTCTATATATAGTACCATGTCATCTGCATATAGTGATAATTTTACCTCTTCTCTTCCAACTTAGATACTTTTTTTTTAATTGTCTGATTGCTATGTCTAGGACTTCCAATACTATCTATGTTGAATAGAAGTGGTGAGAGTAGTCATCCTGGTCTTGTTTCAGATTTTAGTGGGAAGGCTTTCAACTTTTCACTGTTGAGTATCGTGTTGGCTGTGGGTTTGTCATAGATAGCTCTTATTATGTTGAGAAATGTTCCCTCTATACCCAATTTGATAAGTTTTATCATATAATGGCTGTTGAATTTTATCAAACGCTTTTTTCTGCATCTATTGAGATGAACATGTGGTTTTTGTCTTTTCTTTTGTTAGTGTGATGTATCACATTGATTGATTTGCATACGTTAAACCATCCTTGTGCCCCTGG